CCACATGCTGCCCCCCACACCTGAACTAAGATTTAAATAAATTTCAAACCTGGTAAGGTCCAGGTAATTTTTAAAAATGATTATGTCCTTACATGCAAAACTTTCTTTTTCACTTGACTGTATGCTTTCTCATCATGTTACCTAATGGCAGCATTTAGGGAGAAAATAATAAAGGCCCAAGGACTGATCCCTGTGGTACTCCGGTGGACCAGTGACTTTGACAACAGAGTACAGTTATTTGCCAGACCATACTGATGTCAATTAGTCAAAGAGGATTTAAACATCCCACCATCAAATTAAAGTCTATGTAATAGATTAAATTGGTCGATTGTCACGCTGTCAGGAACAATTGCCAGTGTTATGAATTATATGACTATAGTTAAGGCAGTTTCAGTTCTGAGTCCCTGACAGAATCCTGTCTGGAATCTATCCAGTATTTTGTGTCTAAAAGTATGACTGCTGTAACTGAGCAGTAACTATCTTCTTCAGAACTCTGGACAGAAATGGTACATTAGAGACAGGTCTGGAATTGCTGAGCTTCTATGGGTCCAAACTTAGTTTCTTCAGTAGTGTTCTGATTACTGCTACTTTAAATTTGTCAGTGTCATTGCCTGGGGACAGGGACGTATTCATTGTGGCAGTTATAGGTCTTGCCAGAATTTCATAGGATTCTGTAAGAAGTGGAGTGGGTGAAGTGGTTATTATTGTTTGAACTCCTGTTCATTGATTATTTCAAAAACATCAAGGGTGTCTTCGTCAGAGTTATCTGTGAATCATTTGAACATGAGTCTTTGCGTGCTGTAAGTTCCCCAGGGCTGTGCCCGTGTTTTTGCTTCAGCTCCGCCTACAGTATTTTGTCCACGTCATTCCTCCCTTCTGGGTCCCAGAGTTGAAAAGGACGCTGTCCAGCCGTCCCGACAGCTTTGCTCATTGACTCTGTTATTGCCTTTTCTGACTTGCATATTGCCTGTGTATTGACTTTGGGTTGTATTCTGTTTTGTGTTTAATTCTCGCCTCACCCTTTTTGTACCTTTGCTGCATTTGATTTGCTGTTTGGCTTTCGATCCCCCTGCTAGGTTTTGTCCACTGGTGTTCCCTTGTTCCCCTTTGTTCCCCTTTGTCCCTTTATCCAAATCCTCTTTCCCTTTAATACTGTTTCACTCCAACCATAGACTGGAGGTCCTAACACATATTTGAAGTCAATTGTTTGTAGTTTTATTGTTAAAGTCCATAAAATGTTCCCTACGTATATTACCTGGTAGCAGAGGTTCAGCCATATCTGTTAGAGAATCTACAGCCTTAATAAGGTAGTGAGGGTTATTTCTATCGCGATCAATAAGGTCAGAGTAACAGGCTGAATGTGCCCTATGTAGGACTTGCTTGTATTGTTTCCGGCTGTTGGACCATGCAAACTTGAACACCTCCAACCCTCTAAATGAATCTCCAGTGTGGTCAGATGAATGCATTACATCATAAAAGATGTATGATGTTGAACATGCTGCAGCACCAGAACCAACTGACACACCAACTAGCTCATACAACACAACAAACACTCATGTACATAGGTAGAGATTAATATGCTTGACATATCATTCTCATTCATGGTGGGTTTTTAAATATTAAGCCTAGGTTAAAAATATTAAATATTAAATGAGCAAATTGATTTGACTTGTTCTTCTATCTCAAGTTCAGGTCTAAAAGCATTGAGGCTGCCACCGATTATATCTGCTCTCGGGGAAAATATCCTTCTGTAGCCACTAGGGGAGCTCTCGCCTTCTCTCAACCCTGTCAAATAACTGATTGCCTTATGCAGCCTAGCAAGCTTTATAATCTGTGTCAATGAGCACTGCCTTTACACTGACACCCCTACTGAGAGGTAGTTAAGTTAGTTAAGTTACATGACCAATTGCATTCAGCTGTTTAACAGTAAATTCTCACTGTTTTATCATTTTCCCTAAAACTGGAACCATACATTTTATTCACTTTTATATCACAGGCAGAGGTGGCCAAATGTAACTTAAAATTCTACGGGAGCACAGAAACAGTGTTTTATAAGTTGAAACATTTTTTTTTCAGTGATAACAACTTCAGTGCACTCAAATGAAGTACACTCAGACTACTACACTGAAACAACTGAAAGACACAACTGTTTGTTACGGTGTGACTCCTGGCTCAGATTCCACATTCACACACACCTCCATACAGAACTGGCAGCTACTGCTCCACTAAAATCATGCTGCCTGTTATTGATCTGCTGCACATGTGGGTCACTTCAGGACTGTCACCAGTTCACACTGGAATCTGATTCTGGCCACATTTTTAAAATAATGTAAATCAAGTTAACAAAAAAATCAAATCTGAGCAGAAAATACAAATTGATCATTTGGGATTGCTGTGTTGTCACCTGCACTGAGAAAATTTGCTTTATATTTTTATCTCAAGTTCTTGAAACAACTTTAGGTAGCTAATTTTTGTAAGTTTAACCTGTGGAATTTTTTACAGTGTAAAACTTGAGGCTGTATGTTGTGTTAGGGAAATTCAAAACGTATGATGCATAATTAAATTTTAAATTTTATTTTAGAGAGCAATTACTCTTAAAATAAATGGTAAGTTTCCATTTTCTACTCTGTGCTGAGGCTGGTCAGACAGGTCCTGCAAGTTCTACAGGAGCAGGAAGTATGTGTAACACGTAGATCACGCAGAAAACAAGCCCTGTGTTTATTACTATTATCACATTGGTCTATTCAGTAACTAATGTAACAAAGTATTGTGCAAGTAAGAATTCCTGCACAAAACATCTTACAGAGGAACACAGACACCCAAGCAAAGACAGCAACATTGTTATGTGACTGATTATAGTTATTTTAAATTATTAATTCATAAGAGATATTTTAACATTATTTTTACTTGGGTCTTATTATTTTTACGTACGTCACACTGGAATTAAAAATCATGAACTGCTACAAAAGGAACTAAAATCATTTTGCTAAAATATTGTCTGTCTTACCTTGAGAACTGAACAGGAAGGCAGACAAAACCCAGGGATACTGGTTTTGGAGAGAGAAGTCGCTAGTTCTAAAGATGTTGCAACTTCATTTTTTGTAGTTATGGGGCGGGACAGAGCACATGAAAGTGTGAAAGGAGGGTGGAACAGTTCAGTGGACGGACGGACAGATCCTGGTGGCTCTGGTCTTCCATCTACAGTAAATGACCTGCACACTGCAAAAAATTAAATCTAAGCCAAAAAATCTTAAAATTAGCCAATAAATCTTGTTTTTTTTTCTTCCAAGATAAACTAGCCTAGAATTAAATGTAAAAGAATATTTTGCTTATTTCAAGAAAATAAGACTTGAATTTTCTTACTAAGAAAAAAATGCTAATTATAATGATTTTTTTCAATGAATTAAGTAACTTTTTAAAGTGAGCATTATATTTTAACATGCTCTATCCTGAAACAAGACATTTCAATTTTCCTATTTTAAGAACACAATGTTTCTTATTTTAAGATAACACTATTTAGGACTCCTGACACAATTTTAATTATTATTTTTATTAAGTAATTAAAATATATACACTCACCTAAAGGATTATTAGGAACACCATACTAATACGGTGTTTGACCCCCTTTCGCCTTCAGAACTACCTTAATTCTACATGGCATTGACTCAACAAGGTGCTGAAAGCATTCTTTAGAAATGTTGGCCCATATTGATAGGATAGCATCTTGCAGTTGATG